AAAAAAAAAAAAAAAAAAAAAAAAAAAAACAAGCTTAAAAAAAAAAAAGAAGACAGCCAGTAAGTTGGCTCCTGACTTAGGGAATTCTTAGTACAATTTCTAGGAAGTAGAGTTGTTTCAAAGAATCCTCTGAAGTTAAAGGTTAACTTTTGTTTATGGGTAACTACTGACAAACAGTATATTATTCACACTTTTTCCTTTTAATTTTTATTTCCTTTATTATTTTCCGACACCAAAAATGACTCAGTTAAAGTGGAACTACCCACCTTTCCTTTCTTAGGCTTCTTGTAAAGAGTTTCAATTCCTGTAAAACCCCTTACTTTCTGCACTGCTCATCTTGACTTACATATAGCCTCCAAAATTTTGTCTGAGAGAGTTACACAGAAACTGAAACTGAAGATGAAATGTATGCACTGGCCATAAAAACCTAGATGCTTGGATTTTCATTTCTGTGGCTTTATTTTGCTCAGTTATTGAGAATGAACCTCATCTTAAATTTTCTTAAATAATTTTAAGAAACCTAATTGGTCATTAAACAATCTAATTAACGTTTCTACTCTAATTCCTTTATATCAGCAAGCTAACTCAAAAGTCAGGTAACTGAACTGCATTTGCTATGCAATTTAAGCAAACCATTCCTTCAAAATTAACCTCATATTACGGCAGAAAGTGAGATGCAAAATTTCACCTTACATGCCTGGGGCGGGCAAAATATGGCCCACTGGCTGAATACAACTTGCCTGTAATTTGGAAATAAAATTCTAGACGTATCCTCATACCTATGTATAACCTAAGTTGCTTTCTAGAGACAGGGCAGAGTTCACTGGCTGTGACAGAAATCATCTGTACAGCAAAGCTTAAAATATTTACTATCTGGCTCTTTTAAGAAAAATTAAGGGGGTCAGTGAGAATGCTCAGTGGACTAAAGTGCTTGCTTGGGAAAGCTAGGCAAGCACAGGGACCACAGTTCGATCCCTAGCACCACATGCAGTGCTGGCCCTACTCCCAGGTCAGGCTGAGCCAGCCAGAGACTGGGGCATAGTGCACACACCTGTAGCTCCAGCACTGGGGAGGCTGAAAGCAGGAGGATCACCAATTAATCTGAGACCCTGCAACCAGCAAATGCATTAAAAATAAAAATTGCATCTGGGGCCGGGGAGATGGCTCAGTGGAATAAGCGCTTCCCTGGCAAGCACAAGGGCCTGAGTTCAATCCCCAGTTCAAAAAAAAAAAAAAATTGCATCTTTCTGTTATATGAAACGTCATCTGTCCTGTGAAAATAATTTATATGATAAATGACATTTTCTTGTTCAACCACAATGCTCATTTTCTCAAAATTCTGAGCATATACAACTTTACCTGGTTTGCCATATCTTACTCATTATTACTTCCATTATGTAAAAGTGTCTGCAGCATATGGTAGAATTTTAAAACATGACTTACATGACCTCTGGTAGGCTGGCTGTCTGCTGACATGGGCTTCAGGTTCTGTGTGATGTCACCAGTGCAGAACACAATGAGACATTGCTGGAGGCAACTGAGTGGTCCTACACTGGGCTGGGTTCTGTAGGCAGCGAAGACAGAAAAAAAAAAAATCAGAATTGGATACTCAGTAAGCCTGTCATCTCAGATGTCCGGCTAGCTACACATCTGATCAGGCTCTAAATGACAGGGAGATGCATACAGAGAAAGCTTCAAATGTCAAGACTGAATCTGTGGTTGAATCTTATCTAAAATCTTCAGTTTCCCAAATTTTAACTCATATCTACATTGACCATAAACTACAGTTCTTCACACCGTTCCCTAGTAAAATGTGTTTCACTTCTACCATAAAATAACACAGCAAAGTCTCTACTCAGATACTCTGCCATCAAGCATACAACTGCAAACCCTCTTTGCAAAGCACATTGCTTTCTAGAGACAGGACAGAGTTCACTGGCTGTGATGGAAATCACGTGTACTGCAAAGTTAAAAATATTTCCTTTCTGGCACTTTTAAGGTGATTAATATAGGTCCATAGATTATAGCAATTACAATGTCTTAAACTGATATACCTCCTATATTTTTAAAAAGTAGTATAACCTTTATTTTAGAAAATAAATTAAGAAATTGCCAAATTTCAGTATGTCTCATTATATTGAAGAATTTATATTAATAGTAATAATTTGTCTTAGATAATCTTAGTTCAGATTATCAATGAAGTAGGTCAAACTTGATGCAATTTTAAACAAATATAAGTGTCACAGTTCTATCTGCACATGTGTGATATGGGGTCTTCCTCAATTATTTATGGAAAATATATTTGGTCAAAAGTTACTGTGCATCCAATTTACCTCATGTGCCCTCATAGCTGGTTTTTATCCTTAATAAACTCACTTATTAATGGAGAGAAACCTGAAAGCAACTAAGTCATGTTCTGTATATTTCAACAGGAGAATGAAGAGAGCTCCAAGTAACAGCAGAGTGTGAGGAATTAATTCCATGGTACGAGGAAGATGAAGGACTTGGAAAGACTTCAGGGGAGAAACTGACAGAAGAAAGCAAAGCTGCTTCCAGCAGCCCAGAATTTAAGGAAATGAGGGAGAATGATATTTTAAGAGACTTCTGAATGTGATTTTGCTCTTGTCCTAGAATTGGTGCATAGAAATCAGTGTTAAGAAACGCTATGCTGCTGAAAATTCTAAAGAGAGTTTTGTAGTCAGGATGAGATATCTACTCCAAGGCTAACTCAGGTGGAAATAAGCGTTTCTATTGCTATTACCTTCTCATCAATCCAAAAGACAAACGGCTTCATAGATGGAGCTGTACCTACCCCCTCCCCAAGTCAGATGCACATGATAAACCCTGACCTTCAGGGCAATCTTATTTCATAATTGAGCTTAGATGAGGTCCTGAGTGAGACCCTTTGGCACAATTACAGTCCTTATAAGAAGATACACTGAGGAGTGAGACCACTGCTTCTGCTGCCCTGTCATCTTCCCTCACCTTCCCTTTCCATCTTCACTCTTTCCTCCCTGCTTTCCTGCCACACAAGGACATAGAAAGAGGGAACCATCCACAAGGCAGGAAGAGAACCCTCCCAGGACCCAACTCAGCTGCCATCTTGTTGCTGGACTTCCCAGCCTCCAGTACTACGGGCTGTAAATTCTTATTGCTTAAATCACTCATTCTATCATTCTATCATTGTTATAGCAGCCCCAGCTATCTAATATAGATTATTATTAGCCTGGTTGGACATCATGCCAGCAAGCATAGTTCATCAGTCCTTAAACCTAAGCATCCAAAGTTTGAAAGAGAAATGGGATACATGTGGACTTTCTTTTCAGTGTTTGACCCAAAAAGCTATGCAAATTTCCCTTGAATTAAGGTTGCTTTTTTTTTTCCAAGGGATCTACGCAACCAGATTTGGAGGTCTACTGGACCAGTGGGAGGAACCACGTGGGTAAGAAGAGGTAGATCAGTGGATCAGTGTGGAGGCTACTATATAGGTGTGTGGAAGAACTCAAACACCTGGCCTGAAGGAGACTCCATTTTGGTAGCCTCCCCCACGATGACAGCAATGGCTGTGGTCGAGTAAAATCAAGAGTTAACTGGCCCTTTTACTCTAAGCCAGGCTCTCAGTCTCCACCCTGCAGGAGAATGCCAGCAGGCAAGCAAAGTGGAACACATGTTTTTCCTGTTTTGATCCCATGGGTCAAACCTATGCTGGAAAGCCCATGAGGAAGAGGCAATCCTACAAAGTACAGCCCATCTTCAGGATCTGCCAGACGCCTCCCTGCCTGAGACAGAAATACATGCACGCTCAAATCACACAAAATGGAGTAGTAATGGCATGTAACCTACCTGTACCCGTTAGGTCACCTCTAGATTATTTATAATACCAATACAATGCTAGTGTGATGTAAACAGCTGTCACATTGTATTGTTTAAGGAATATGGTTAAGGAAAAAAAGCTACACTTGTTCAATACAAATGCAACTGTCATAGTCCCTAACTGTGGAGTACATGCATGGTTGGTTGGAGCCTGAGATGCGGAATGCAAGGTGCACAAAGGCAACTGAAATCAAAAGTGATGCCGATGCTACATGATCTCGGACTTTTTGAGCTGGATAGCTACCATGCAGGTAGGACTTCCATGTCTCTGAACTAGTACAGATAAAACTTAGGTACCATTTGCGATGGTGGAAACAAGAGAGTCACTGATTGGTCAGAAAAAATCAACTCATTCTGTATTTATTTGTATCCCATTGCTTTCTCCCACTTAATAGCCACCTTTTATTAAGTTCACTGCCTCTAAAACTCAATATTTTAAACTTACAGATTCATGAATGGAATAAATTCATTAAACAGATATAAGGAGTAACAATTAATTTGGGGAATTGGCACATATACATGGCACACCTTAATCCTTATTGGCTCCCTTCCCTTCCCCATCTTCCTCTCCTCACATCCCCAGTCCCCTTCCTGTCTCCCCAAAGTCTTCATTCAAAGTGTTTTTAAAGTACTTTTCTTTCCTGCTTCTCTTCAAAGTGTGCATATTTTTAGTGTTTTGTATAAAATAAACCATTTGATACCCAATCTTTCATGTCTGGTTTATTTCACTTGTATTATGAAAAAATACAAATATGATGAGGATTTTAGATTTTTAAAGCAAATTCTTGTTAATTAAGAAGAGAATACTGCTACTTTCCCAAAACATAGATCTGGATTCCAAGGAAACAATTTAATTTTAAAAAGACACAATGTTTAATGAAGCAAAATTCACAAGGAAGGTTAGATATACAATCATATGTTATGGCCTGGGACAAACTCACTTTTAACATTCTCTTCATGATCTCCTATCTGAACCATTTCTATTACACTGCTTAATCAAAAGTGTAAAAGGAATCTTCATGAAAATTTGCACTGAACAGAACAATTACAATTTTTGAGAAAACTTTTTGTTAAGTTTTAAAGTTGATCCAAGATACAGCCATTGGTCTTGTGATTTTGTTCTCTTTTACATTCTCCTCTGTACCATGTTCGTGTGACACTCAACCCCTGAATCTTGATTTTGCTGTGTGCTTCATTATCTCTGAGGAGCCTCTTCAGATTTTTCTTTGCCTAGTCCTCCAGTTACCAATATTTTAAAAAGATCCAAAGTGGTGCGGTCCAACACAGTAGGCATTAACAGCATATGTATGACTATTTAAATGTACAAGTAAATTCAGGTAAAACAAAACTAAGTATTCACTTTCTTTGGTGAACTTGCCATGAAACACTGGCAAGCCACACAGTTAGTGTGGGAACGCACACACCATGTGGGAACGCAGCAAGGGCAGAAAGCTGTCCTCAGGGCTGGATTGCCTATTAGACAGCACTGATCCACGTGTGATACGAAACGTTCCAGACAGGTCTAAATTTGTTACATAGCTTAGCAATGAACAGCAAGATTTGGGGCAAGGTAATTAGTGTGGCAGGGCCTGCATTTTTTCATCTGCAGAATGGGGAAAATGGTGCCCACTTTGCAGATTTATTGTGAAATTTAATTGAAATCATTCATTCAAATGGCATAGACAAACCTTACCGTACTGCTAGTACTCACAAATATTGGCTCTTTATGAGCGTTTATTCCCATTGTGAAAATTACACCTCACAAGAAACAGTCAAACCATCCCTCACAACAGGGTTGTACCTTCCCTCCCGTACCACTGGAAGCACAATGAGTTACCGTCAACATCCATAAAACCTAGATCAGTGCCACTAAAGTGTCAGTTTGCAATGACTAACGCTCACAGTAATTCCTTCTTACGGAAAGCCTTACAAGAAGAAAAATGTCAGGCAAACGAAATGTGTTCTAGTTATGTGTTTGCTTGACAGCCTGATGCAAGTTCTTCAACAAGTCAAAGACTAGGAGAAAACATTTGATAACTTGGTATGCAGTGGTCTACTTGGGAAGACAAAGTCCGAGAGGGTTTCAGATTCTCACAAAGAGGGCTATAAAGCTTAGCCATGAAACAGGAAAGCCTAGTAAAGCAGCAATAAGGGGTGGAGACAACCCGGACAGTCAAGGTGAGGTTTTTATACTTCGAGGAGCATTGAAAGATCAGCAACTGGAGAAGAATGGTAAAGAATCAAGTTAAAGGAAAAAGAAGTGGGAGAAAGCCTCAGAAATTTAGCTCTTCAGGGCTAAGGAAACAGTTTCTTCCATCGGCCAAGATATACTTTGTTTTGTTCTTGTTTATAGGAAAAGAAAAAAAAAACTAGAAAGGCTTGAATTTAATAGTGGCTAGACTTAGCCCCACTATTCCATCTACACATTATCTTCATATAATTGAAATTATTATATCTAAATAATATTGAACTGTAAAAATACATGTGGAAAGTTATTCTGATGGTTTGCTGAGCTCTGAGCATTTGTAGTTAAAGATAAATGAGCACCAAAACCCTCACAAGTGCTCAGGTATGCATCAAAAATGAATGTTCATCTTTTGAGCTCTTCAGGTATTCAGAAAAAGATTCACATAAAATTATTCTTCGTCATAAAAATCAGCCAATCATTACTAAACAATTTTCCAGTCCTGC